CCGGACCACCAAGGCCACCGACCACCAAGACACCAAGACCGGACCACCAAGGCCACCGAGCACCACCAACACCGCCTAGAGCGCCACAATCACCGCCAAGACCAGCAAGACCACGGAGACCATCAAGACCACCAAGGCCACCAGCACCCCCAAGACCACCAAGAGTAGACTGCTACAATCACCACCAAGACCACCAGGACCACCAAGACCACCGACCACCAAGACACCAAGACCAGACCACCAAGGCCACCGAGCACCACCAACACCGCCTAGACCGCAGAAATCACCACCAAGACCACCGAGACACCAAGACCGGACCACCAAGGCCACCGGGACCACCAAGAGCACCACCAACCGCCTAGACTGCCACAATCACCACCAAGACCACCGGGACTACCAAGACTAAAATAGTCTGAGCGAGATACTGTGACATGACATGACCTTCTACTTAAGTAGTCGAAACGAGATAGGGCCTCCACATGATAGATAGTGCGTTTGAGCTCAGTACCAAATAAATGCCGCCGCACATACGTAAGCTGACCGTATATTTAAATCGTACCGTATATTCATTCCGTATGTTTAAAGGGTCGGGCCGGGCTGGCAAAAACCTTGCCGGAGGTAGTCTAAAATACCTGTTCACCTGTTTAAAAAATCGTATATGTAAAAAGCGATACCGTATAAATTCTTGGGAACTATATATAAACAAATATCTCTTTAAGGACAGGAATGCTTGTAAGCCCACACACACAACACATTGTACCACCAAAGCATATGTTGGAATTAAATAGGTGAGGTTTTTGCTGCATATAATATATATATATCAACTGCATGACCAGACTCTGCTAGGCTGTCAAGCTCCGCCCAACCCGACAACAGGAGATGGTTGGTCCACACCCAGTGGCACTCCTGAGACGGAGATGTTTGTTCCGTGCGAAGACCCAGTCAGTTCTGGTGACCCTGTCAGATGCATTGCGACCGAAACCATGTGGATAGTCCATTCACTGTAAGAGACATACATCAGGAGGCACACCCCACTTGCTGTACGTGCATGGAAAGGTCAAACATCTATATCGTTTTGGTTTTGGGTTCGGTGCTTCCTGGCCCGGCCACCAGTGATGTTTCCGGCCTTTCTAGAGCTAATTTTCCGCAACACACAGGAAACATGTGATGTCAAAAAAGGTTTGAATAGTTGGGAACACCAGAAGTTGGTGAGGACTGACAAACCTCCCCACCCACACCCCTCCGAAACACACCCAGAAGCCTTGCGAAGCTATTCCCACGAACCACAGGAAGAGCAACGAAAATTTCCTGTAACTAACTTGCATGAACTACAAAAGCAGCATGAACATATGTTCAGAACAAGGGAGGTTCTTTGCGGAAGCAGCATTTGCTCTTCGTGGCATCACAGCAACCCCGACAAAGCATGGTCCCACGCGCTGTCAGCCTGGGTGTCGGTCAAAACCTCACCCTTCAAAGCATGGGTTTGGTTGACATCCCAAAAACACGTGACCTTCCAAGCATGGGTCGGGTGTGTAGTTGGGTTCATCAGGGGTGTCAAAAGACCTACACCTGTCCAACATATTCATTATCCAATCTCTTCCAGCTGCCAGCATTTTCCAAGCAAGGCCACTGGAGAGCCGCCGGAAAGGGGAGTACGAGGCTAGTGAGGTAGTTGGATGGGAGTACAAGGCCGCGGTAGGCCCGAAGGTAGTTGGATGGGAGTCATGGGATTGGAGGTATGGAGGTCTACTGAGAGAGAGGAATTCTGGTCATGTGCGAGAATTTGTGGCCATATTTGTGCGGGAAAATGGTAGTTTAATTGTGGGGTGTCTATGGTCCTATGTTACTATGTTTCAACCTGCGTGATTGGACCATCGGATAGCAGGAGCAACGCTGCCTTCTCCGGGAAGACTGGTATAGACTGGTACCTTGATGAGAAATATGTTCTGTCAGAACTTTAAAACCTCAGGCGAGGCTGTCAAAATTTATCATAAATCTCATGCAGTAATGTTTCCAAGTTTTTGAAAGTTCACCTGGATGAACCTCCTCTCACAGCCGCACCACTGTTTACAAGGACTTGGGAACATGCGGCGCAATGCCTATGCCTCCCATGTGTCTCTCAGCCGGGCTCCGCAAGGCCTTTCACCCCTCCATCAGCCACGAATTCCGCGAGGCGCGCGGTTGTCTCCGCGCGACGACGCGACGAAGCAGAATTCGTGGCCGGGATACGTCGGTGGGCCACCAGACGCTCACGTGCGGGTCAAGAGAAGAATGCTCCTGCGCTCGTAGAGTGTCCTTCTCGGGGTGGTTCTTGGGCAGATGTCCATCATCCACTCAGTGGAGGGGACCACAAACCACCCCAACTGTGGATGTTTTTGGACTTTGCTTCGAAAGCAGCTGCTTTTTGCCTGGAAGAGCTTCCCAATGGTACCCGGGAATCCTTGTTGTATACCCTATGTCTTTCATGGTGTATTCGCTGGAATCCCTTGAAACATGCTGGGACCCCTCTCCCAGAAGTGGGGCTTCCAAGTTTGAGTCGAGACTGGATCAGCAAGGCTTTTCAGAATCCCGGCACAAGCCTGGTACCATGTTGATCTAGGTACAGTATAGTGACTATAGTGTTAGTGTCAGTGTTCCATCAGGTTGAAGCCCAGCTGGATAGAACATGAATCGTGACAGTTCTAAGAACCCGGGTTCCCAGGCACCGTCATTTCACGGTCACCAAAAAGGTCCCCTTTCAAACACCCTCCGCCGGCACCGGGAGCGAAGGAAAACACAGGTTCCTTGGCAGTGAAACGGGTGCTTCAATGTGATGTCCAGCCGCATGTTTGCACCACAATGGCCACAGTTTGATGGCACCAGTTCCTTCCCGAAGAGCCCGACACTTCGGGCGTTCAGCTGGAAGTAGTGCCAAAAGTCTGGCGCCGGGCTGGCTTGATAGACCTAGAGTAACTCAGTGTTTCACCAGCGACCGAGCCCTCGGCAAGGCCATGGGTGGTGTGGAGCGACTCTCCGGGACCAAGGGATGGGGGGATGTGACTGGGTCCGGGTCAGTTGAAAGCGCATAGGGGTTTTGCTGCACTTGTGACGCGATGCACTTGTTACTAATAGCTATCTCTAGTGTTTCAGTGTATCATGAGATGCTGTTTTTGAACATGTTTGAACTTTCGGGTACACCTCAGGTAAGTGTTCCAAATCATGGTCAAGATTGAGTGTATGCAGAAGCCTTGTATTTAGGAAACTCCAGGGTACGGCCACATCTTCCCGTCTTGGGAAGGTAAAGGAAGGCAGTCCAGACTCTTGTGTTTCTCTTTACATGCATGGTGGTTTGTTCAGTTGAATCCCGATGCTTCGCCCCGCCTTCAGGATTGCCGGCTGAGAGGAGTTGGTGCCAAGTGCGGAAACTGGGAGTTGTGGGGCGGAGCTTTGCTGATCGATTGCTAAGATCAATGATATGAATACCGTGCATCCTGCTGCAGCTGTTGGAATGTAGACGTTGCAGTCGACCTCAAAGCCGAAAGGAGTCTTGAGCGCTCTTGGATGAGGCTTTGCTAAGATGGTTCTTTGACCCACACCAAGTGGGCGAAGGCCAGCGAAGGCAGCGTAGGCACATCAACTTTCTGCATCGCGAATTTGCCGCAACGCCATGACCAAAGGGGGGCATCCCAGGATCCAGTATGAGCTGAACACAGAAACATGAAGGGAAGAAAAAAGAAACAAGCAAAACCCGCCAGCCACCTTTATAAGAGTGACCATCCATGACCTGGCTCTGCTTGGCGCTAGGAGCAAGGAATTCTCCAACGTTTCGCGGAGGCATATATAATTTTGATATATATATATACATTACTGTATGATATTTTTTCATATATCTCGCGCTCTCCCCCATCACCTGGGGTCGGAGGATTATAATATTCCTGTAATCACGAAAGGTAGCTTGAGCTACCTGAGTTCCCCTTGCTTTAGCAAAAATGTATTACAATCAGGAGTTGGGATTGTGCATTGAGTTTGGTCCTGTAAGAGTTGATTCTGTTCGTCGGGGGGGGGCCCCCCCTCCCTGGATCAAATCCCCCCTGCGCCGGTTCATGCCGTCATGGACTTCTACCAGGGTTACTTGTGAGTGCCTGCTACCTTTCGTTCACCCCCTCCTCTCTCAAGTATTATTGTATGTTGAACATGTTGATTCATGTTCTAAAAAGTCTTGGGCCTTGGGTAAGAGGGGGGCATGATGATCTGAAATCCGGCTGGTCATATGGGATCAATTGAGATGGATTCTCACCCCTGACATGACTAATGGGGCCAGCACAGTTACCCATCAGTTGGGCTGGTTGAAGAGGGGTCAATGTAAGCAGATACTCCATTGCCATGGAGTGGGTTCTCACAGTTCTCACTAAGTGCAGACGACGGGCAAAAAGGAACATTGGGAGAGCAGCCCCCAGCACGAGAGAAGACACATTCAAGTCCAACTCAGCTGAATGATGCAGGGTTGATCAAAAGGATGCACATGGCAATGGATGATGATTTTAAAGCTGCCCGATCAATGGTGTTACTTCTTGCCTTGTACATTTTTGGATGGAACAAGGACTATACAAATATATACAAATTAATCCTATGAACCAGGTTTCACCAAATATGACTTGGTTGCCGTAGCTGATATGGGGAATTGATCCACATATATCCAAGCACCATCAAATGCCTGTTCTAAAGTTTGATCCAGTTCCCTGACACTCCATGTATGGCATAGCTTTTCCTACATTGGGGGTGGGTGAATGTAGGCAAATATTGCATACATGGAGTGTTTGGGACCGGATGCCCCGATCATGGCGGAATTTGCCGAACGCCCACGGCATGTACAGCGGAGCGTGTCCCGCACCGTCACCGACACGGCCGCGACCAAAATCGCACAGGGCGAAGGAGTGGCTGACATTTACACTGGTTTCACAGTAGATGGCACAATCCTCAAGTCATGGTGTATATAAAAGGACCCCTTTCAAAAGACATCTTTGGTTTGTGCCATCTATACTCTGAAACCGCTGTAGGATAGATGTGATTTGTCGTGAAATCATACATTGTGCAGTCATCTCAACTTGTTTGATATACTGTACCAGGAGCTGGTTCCGTGATTGATACACACTCTGGTCTCCTCTAAATTGGATACGAATTCAGGGCATGGAGCGTGTTAAACCTGGTCATGTTGCCCAGTATGGTAACATCTCAAACCAGATCATGGTTTCGTCGCCGGATTTGAGAGTCCCAACTGGCCGGAGAGTCCGAACTGGCCGGAGAGTCCGTTTGCTCTCGAAAAACGGAAAACGGCACTCCATTGGGCATCTCTACCTGATATCGTTTGATATCTACTTAAGGGATGGTTGGATAGTCACACTTTGGGTTTTCTTGATGCATTGTTTGATGGAGTGTTTGACCCAAAGGATGTGTCCCAGAGAAAGTTCCTTTGAGTTTGGATCTCCACTCAAGAACCCTAGGAACTCTCAGCTCAAATCCCAAGTTGACAGGCTGGGAAGACTGAGTTTGGTTCGTGGTAGATTGATGGTCGCCAGAGCTTCACCTCACCCTTCACTGCCGGCCTGTCGCGAGCGTAGAAGGCACACTGCACCGTGTTCGGCGTGTCCTTCACTCCACCAGCGCCGGAGACCCGAGAGGTCGGCCATTGCATGAGAAGACCAGGCCATTGGGACTCATTTCAATTCGGTTCCATCCCGAAAAAAACCCATGGAAGACCTGGGTCTTCCATGGAACAAAAGGAATCCTCGTAGCTGGGTGCGGCCCCCATGATCCGCTGATCTCCGCTGATGGCAGATGTTCTTACGGCCCGACGAGCAGAGCGTTGAGTAAGATTAGATGAAACATTCATGCAGAAGCTCGAAGACATCCGAAGACCTGGAGGAAGTCAGCATAAGTCAGCTGTCCAACACCATTGCGCATAGAACATGCATGCGTTTGGAATCTTTTGGATCTCAACATGTCGCCTCAATTCATGCAAGATGTTCGAGCGCCTTCCTCCCACACTCATTCAGGAAAGCCCTTTACAGTCACGTCCGGTCTCCCGGCCCTGCTTTCAAGCCCCCCACCCGGAGACCGGCCCGACAGAAATGCCACATGCCCCCGCGCAGAGCAGACTTCAACACTGAGCAGACTTCAAAAGTAGCACATGATCAGGATCTTCCCTCCCGGCTGATCGTCCCATGGGTCTCGCGCGGGCATCTGCATACGGGTCCCACCGCGCGTGTTGGAATGCAGAGCGACCCGGGGCGTGGCTGGAATGACGCCGGAATCCTCCAGAGTGGAGCGTTTACGCTCGGATCTGCAAGAGGAAGCGGCCCAATTGCGCGCAGAGCAGCTTGATCGATAGGAAGGTTGGTGCTTCCACGTTCAGAGGGCGTTTGGAAGGCAATTTCCTGACCATTCCAACCTGCAAATGAAAGAGGGTAAACCTCTCGTCTACCTCTCTGACCACCAAGTTCCGAAGATCCACCCGGGCACCGGACCCACCGGACGAGGCTTTGGGGCCTTTGCAATGGCGAGCTCCGCCCAGGTCGGCCGTTCGCTCGGGGGACGGTCGGTCTGCCGTGTTGAGAGTACACAAACCTTCAGCATCACTTGAGTCAAACCTTCAGCCGAAACCGAAACCAGAGACTCTCCAAATTCTTGGTCGAATGGTTTTTGTGTCCGATCTGCATTCCAACGCATCTGGACCAACATTTACACCCGGATACACCCAGGAAAATTAACATGGAACCTGAAAGTGGACCTTTGGAAGACGATTTCCCTCTACGTACAACCCAGTGGTTTTCAGGTTCCATGTTAATTTTCCCGGGTGTATATATAATTGAAAAGGTACTATAGTATTTCAGGACCCAGCGCAGGGCGGGCAGGGCGCAGGGCTTCGGTGATCCACTCCAACTTAGTCTTCACTTTTGTTGCATTACAGTACCTTTTCAATGCTTAGCTGGTGTTTTCATACCAGACCTCGAAGAGCTTGGAAAGTCATACCTTTTCATGCAACGTTTGTTTGACTTGATGGTCTCAACGTTGCAGTTGATCCCTTCTCTCCGCCACTTCAAAGGTTGGCAGTCCCCTCCTTTTCGGCAGGTCCGGAGAACCACGTGGACGAGCGATCCATGCGAGACTTGGAGATGAAGCTGCAAGAGATGACCATTGAGAGAGACGCTGCATGGGCGTGGGCCGAAGGCTTAGAGACCAAGCTCCAAATGGTGCCTGGGCCGCGAGAATGGGGTGTTTGGTCTATTCTCCCGGCCGCGAGAATGTTGGATGGCTGGGTTATAAGTCACTTCACTTGCATTAATTGTGGGAAATCATTTGGGATTCGGGTGAAATCAGCAGGTGACCTCCTCCTAGATTTGGTCAATATGTGGGTTCTACAGGACAGTGTCTTTTTCCAGAGGAAACTCCCAACAGGTTTGAGTCTTGTGAATCAACAATGGACCTCCCAAGCGGTCCATATTTCAGGTGTTGTCCTTGTGGCTGTGCATAATCTACGGCCTGTGTTTTTGTGTGTGTGTGTGTGCGCGAAGTTCACCCTGAGAACCAGGAGTTGCGTAAGATCTGCACGGCATAAGTTCAGTGAAATACTGGATGTTGATCTTTAATTCCTCGACAAGATGTCCTCGCTCTGAGCAGCTGGGCGGGTTGGGGCCATGTTTCTTTTGTAGAAGTTGTTCTTCAGTCGAGTCAGCATGTTCAGGACGATCAACAAGTGCCATGGAATATTCATGGACAAACAGAGTAGATGGGTTTGGACCAAGACGTCTTGCACCTGCAATCCCATGTGAAATACAGCCTCGGCCTCGCCTGTTTGGTACCCCAAAAATATTTCAACATGACATGTTCTTGGAAAAGTCCATTTGGACCCTCCTACCCCTCCCCAAACCCCCGCTTCATGACTCGAATGCTTTCCCCACACCAGTCCGCCGGTCCATCCAGGAGAGGCTCACTGCCCGGGCATGCGCGACAGAAGCGATCGAAGTCGAGGAGAAAAGTGAAGAGAGGCCGGGACAGATTCCGCAAGTTTCAGATTGGAGTGATTCATGATCATGTTGATCATAGCACAAGCTGCAAGCTGCTTGAAAAAACAAGAACAAGTGCATTTGCACTGTGCTTGTATCCGAACCAAAGATGAACATTCCATATCATTCCATAACATTCCTTTAAACAATCTCATTAAAAGCAATCATTTTACCACCTTCCAGGATCTCCGAACTCCTCGACGAGTTGGCTGCTGCGGAGGCAGAAGCCAAGGAGCTTCAGCAGCTGCGCTCAGGCGCTGAGCCGGCCGGGAGCTCCCAGATGTTGTTGCAGGAGATCCATCACAAGGCCAGGTGTTTACATAGTTGTGTTGCCCCAAAACTCGTGATTTCTTAATTAATTGCAGTATATATATATATAGTTCAAGACTCAGGTACAAGATATATATATACAAGGTTCTAGATTCTAGCTGTTCAAACAACTGCCCAGATGGTCACAGCGATCCCCTTACAAAGGGATCCCCCTTCGGGGTCTTGGTTCGGGGTTCGGTGGGCTCCGGCAGTCCGCCGGGCAGTCCATAGAGTTCATATATATATATATAGAGTCAACAATCAAGTCCCCGGCGATTGTTGCGGCTTTTCGAGGTTTCGATATTGTTATCTTCTTGCCTTCTTATGTCTTCTTCACTCTCCTTGTCCTAGTTCCTTCATGTTCTTTCATATTTTTCCCGGATATGTTTGGTTGCTTGGGGATACGCGCCCTGTTGAGGAGACCAGGCACGCATGTCGTTGGCTTTTGGGGGAGGCAGACATATTGTGGTTGCCACTGTTCATGATGATCTGGCCTTCCGATTTGGAGAAGCATGTTTTGAGTGTTCGGAGATAAGATGGGCTCACTTCTGTTCTGGAACTGGCTGCCCAACAGCTCTTTCAATAGCTTGTTAGTAATGTGGCACAGTTGGGGTTCACCAGCTCTGTACAAGCCCAACCAGTCACTGAGCTTTGCAGAGACGATATATAAGGTATGCACCAACAATCAGCAATCTGAGGTCGAGTCATAGCGATTGTCCCAGTACTGACCTGACAGGTTAAGTCCTCCTTGCGCAGACCGCGCAGACATCGGGTGGTGCGGTGTGGACATACATCGGGTGGAACGATGTTTCAAACGAACCATGCTGCGCTGCTGCTCGTTCGAATCTTGCGTTAAAGACAGTACAAAAAGGTTAAACGCCGCTCGCTCCACGTGCGCGGCCTCTCGGAGGTGTTGGCTTCTTTATACCAAGGGGAAGAGCTGAAACAACAATTCCAGCATTGTTCATGTGCAGCGCCGCGGTGGACAACCGACCTGGTGCGACCGATTTGCGCAGCGCAGGAAACGAAGGAGGCGGGCCTGGCCGAAAACGACATGTGGTTGCGCGAGGTTTTAATGAAAACGAAGTCCTGAACACCATGAATTTGAGGATTCTGAGTTCTGAGGGCCAACCTTTGTTGAGTTCCGTCAAAAGATGCTGTGAGCCTGATTGGCGAAGGACCATTTAACCTTCCAACATCTTTCAAAAATCCAAGTAGAGGGCTAACTGCCAGGCGTCCCAGAAAGATTTCTTTTTTGGACAGAGAATGGGATCCTGTGGGATGGCTCCAAAGGACTTGTGGGAGCGCCGCTACGAACTCGATGTGGCCGAGTTGACCGAGCGCCTGCATTTGAGCAATAATGAGATGCGTGCCTTCGAGGAAGAGCGGCCACTTGGCAGGAAAAAGAGACGCTGGAAGTGCACATTGGGGCAAACTATGGAAAAGAATGTCCGTAAGATTTTGAGTCAAGTCAAGACCACCCACATCACGGCATTAAGATATATTGAAATCGTCATGAATTAGCAAGGAACCTACCGTTGCCTTCCAAGTGCACCATCAAAAGGTCCTTAGGCCCCCCCGAGGCATGCTGCGTATACGTCCTACGTAGAAACAATAGGTTGAAAGGACGGAGGTCATTTAGTTGGAACCTCTTGGAGCCCTAAGCAGGGACAACCCTGTTTCAACTGCTTAGGCTTCCATGATGTTCCATGCTTAGGTCCCTTAGAGTACACTGGTTCTCTAGTTGGTAACCCATAGATCCCTTGGGCCTTCCCCGAACGGTTACCTGAGGAACGCTTGGGCTCGACGTGCAGAGCATTTGGAGAGTCTTTTAGAAGAGAAAGAGACCTTGGGACTGCATGAAGGGTCCGAGAAAGAATTGCTGGTCCATGGGCAATCAGCAATACGGAACGCAGAACGCAGCCGAAAAACACAGTCGTTTCATGCACCCCGTGAAGTCAACTATCACTTAGCGATGCGGAAGTATGATGCGTTGCAAGGCTTGCGAAGGTCCATGGGCAACCCATCTATTGACACGAAGATCATGTCGACCGATGATCAAACACGTTGGTTTGTAGGTCGTTGGGAGGGAGGTCGTTGGGTCGTTTCGTTGCTTCGCTGCATTGGACGCATTTCTTGACGATCCCGGCCTGAATGGACGACTTGACGATCCCGGTCTATCATGTACTTGCACGACATGCAAAGGTGCTCCAATGGCCATCATGTCCGACATGTCCCCTGTTTGAAGAATCCCGGTCGGTGGACTCGGCCAGGAAAGAACCGCATCGTTTGGAGGAGCAGATCGCCCACTTGCGCCGAACGCTCCAGGAGACCCAGGAGCGGATCGGACCGTCCCAGCGATGTGAACTCGATATCCACATTGTCTCGACATGTCTCGACCTTCTTTTTTCAGACTTGTCTAGGAGTCTCCGAGCCTGGTCTTGCTTTTTAAAGGTTGCATTCATGGTATTTGATTGGTGTATATTGGTGTCAATATGATGCAACTTTTGTCTCTCAGAGATTCTGGGACGACCTGGCTGCGAGGCAAACACTGCAGTGATGCTGAGGGAACAGGCCCACGCAAACTGGTGGCTGGACTGAGCATGGGCGTTTCATTCCAGGAAAATGTTTTTGTCCTGGACCATGGGCCAAGTTTTGAGGAGGTGGGAAAGTCAACGTGTAATTTACAGTATAGTATATACCCTAACTGGTTGACCTCGTTTTGTAGTGTAAAGTCCTGCGTAAAACAATGGCCCTTTAGTAAAGACCACGATACAAATCAATGGTTTTTGGAATATGTTGGAATCCTAGTAGGGGAATATTCCTTAATATAGTATAACAAAAATATATATATATGTAATATGGTTAGCACAGAAACATTTTGGAGGTCGTGTCGTACCTGGTGACAACTCAGGACAAGGAGGCAAAGTGAAGAAGAGTTTTCTGAGATGCGCTCCATGTGTGCGCAGCTGGAAGCAGCGCTCCAAGAAGCAGCTCTCCGGAAGGAGGCAGCAATCATTTGGGCTGTTCCGGGTTACCTGACTGGGTTAGGAAGAAGGAGGTTTGGAGCTATCGAGGACCAGTTCTTTTTGCCATCCTGTTACAGCAACAGCACCACACTTTCAGGATCTGCAGACAAAATTCCTAAAAACATGACTAAGGAACACTGAGTCAAGAAGTCCCCAGCAGGCAAACCATGGCCAATCGTAAACATGTCAAGAATTATAGTGGAGTTGTTTCAAGCGCGGAAACCCTCGCTGAAGTATAGTTGAGGTACTGTATGTCAAGGTGACGTGTTTAACTGGATGGTGGAGATGCCCAAATGAGCTGAGTTTTGTTTGTACAAGAAAGGAATTATATGGGTTGTCCTGTGGTTTGTTCGCGAAAGCAAATTCGCTGGCTCGCGTAGGCATTGTTTGGGGAATGTCTTCGCGTAGGTTCCTTGCGTAGGTACCCCTTTTCATACAGTTTGATTATGTTTGATTGCTTGAATGTGTTGTGTCTCATGGTTTCGGTGTTTTGCTAGGACAGAGGCTCAGTTCAGAGGGACAATGGCCAGCAAGGAACAAGATCCCGACACTGCACACATGCAAACAAACGATGCAGATAGTGCGTGAAATTGCTGTGGCAAAGCCATTCTTGCCAATAGCGGCAATGGTGGAAATACGATGAAATACGTGTTTTCTGGCGTAGGCCTCGCGTAGAGTTCGCGTACACACCGCGTAGGCAGACCTCCCATTTGTGCACTATACCCCACGATACCCCACGTCTCCGCACAACTGTCTTTCGTCTGACAAGTCTTGCCTTGCAACACACGTCTTCTTACAGGTGGCAGTAGTAGTGGTAGTCGTCGTAGTCGTAGTCGTAATGGCAGTAGTCGAGTTCACCAGGCAGCGGCCAGACCACAAGCACAGAAGAGTTAAACCCAATGGCAGCGTAGGCAAAAACACACTAGCAACACAAAAGCTGTCTCGCCAGCGTAGGCACCGACCAATTACAACACTCCACATAACAAAAAACGCTGCTCAAATAAACAGTGAATGATTTAATAATAATCGATATGTTGCAGTCCTATTCAGAAAAGATTTGCAAATACATCCAATACTGCTTTGCTAATTCGTGCCCAGATCAAACAAATTCAACAAATCAGTTACATGTCCAATTCTATATATATATATACATTGGTTGCTTTTTCTAAGATGTTACGTTCTGGAGCCCTCCTTTCAGCTAGCCGACTCGTGGCTCAGGAGGCGAGTCAGGTCGGTGCCAAACTGGAGTGTTTGGAAACCAAAGTGCATTCGGAGTGGGAAGCCAAAGAAGCTAGACCAGGTGCCAAGTTGAAGCCACTTGGAGATGATGCGCGTTATGAAGCTGTAACATGTTGGGAACCTTTTCGGCGTCCGAGAGTAAGATGTTGGGAGCCTTTCGGAACCCAGCACGGCAGCAGGTTTGGCTACTTTGAAGAACCATGTAGGTGATTTCAACATATATAGTGTATTTGTGACTTCGGCAGCTTAAAGGGTGTTGGTCCAAGGGTGTTGTTTCCCATAAAACAGGTGTGTGTGTGTGTGTGTAATTGTGTGTGTGTGTATATATATATATACACTTTGGTATTCATCAACCTGTGCTTTGTTGGGTTGATCAGACTCCATCGACCAACACTCATTGGTCCATATTAGGATGTGGGTCAGCAAACTTCCAACAGCGGCAACGACAACAACAAACTTCTACTATTCCTGCTGCTGCTACTACTACTACTACTACTACTACCACTACTACCACTACTACCACTACCACTACCACTAGCATTGCTGCTGCGACTACTACCACTTCTTCTCCCACTCCTACTACTGCTACTACTACTGCTACTACTACTGCATTACTACTACTACTACTACTACTACAAAATGCCCCCACCAACGACGATTCATTCTATTGCGGAAACCCACCCTCACAGCAACCCCAACAGCCACGAAAAAACGGGACAACCATAACAACTTTGGCTTCGCCACCCAGGCAAGCGCTCTCCAGGGATGGTGTCCTCTCGAGCGAGGGGCGTTGGCATGAACCGGTGGCTGGAACTGAGATGGGACAAAGGATGACAAAGGATAGTTTATGACAATGATTGAACGTGTGTCATCCGAAGAGCAGGCCATTGGTGAACTTGATGAATAGAACGCTGTCATTCATGATTTACGGGTGGTCAAGTTTATTTTGTATGGTGCTTAATACGGGACTTGATGGTGGTTTGGAATGGTTCGGATATGGTTCGGGGAGTCACATAAGGATTGTTGCGGGTCACCCAGCATACGACCATCAAATTGTTACAATGTTCATCCACGATGTTCATTCTTGGGGCGAACCAGAATCTCAAAGGTTTGGCCGCTCGCCTGGAAGTTCGACTCCGAAAATCCGTGTATGAATCTACTGTAATGGTTTTAAATTCCAGTTTTCTGAAAACATCCATGTGAAGTGCCTTCAAAATGTGCGCGATGATTAACGATTGCATAAGAGCGTCACATTCATATGCAGGCATGCTCCAAACCCTGGCAAATGATAGGGGACTCACAAAAGAACGATACCCTTTAACAAGGTTCCAAGACATTGGAAACCGATACTGTAGAGGACTCACCAGTCTGAGGATGCAACAGCCGCAAAAATAAATGTTGACTATAATGTGAATATCATTGAAGAAAAAACATCTACTGTAATGGTCAAACCACGTGGGTCAAAAAAAACAATCGTCCCATGAAAAGGTCCACTTGGTGGGGGAAAGCCACCCAATCCTGTTTCCGGGATCTTGAAATCTGAATTTTGACGTTGTTTTTGGACCAGCGGTGTTGGTCAATCCGGAGATACTGGTACTTGTCCAGTGTGGGATGTGGTTCCTCCGCAATGGTGTTGCAGGATCAACAAACGAGGATTCTGATGCATGGAACAGAGCTCGTGAAACCTCGTGAAAAAAGAAGCTGGTGGACCAGGAAGTCCCTTATGCAAAATGGATCATATGGATCAAGATGGGTCTAGACATGTCTAGAGTCTAGAGTCTAGTTGTTCCACTGTCATTTAACCATTAAGTCTTTCCAAGGCTGGCTTCAGAAGCAAGGTCCAGCAAACAGCTGCGGCCCCACCAATGTTGCTTCTTCCTATTGGCCAAGAAGGCTCGGACCCTCCTTGATTACATCGGTATTCGACCTCATGGAAAGGTCCTGTAGGGGTCTCATGCTTCCAAGCTCCGTTTGGAGCGGATCCGCTTGGAGCGGGGTCCCACCGGGGTGGCCCAGGTGGCCGGCCTGGCGCCGATGCTTCCGCCGCCGAAGGTGGTTCGGGCCGCGGAGCCCCTCTCGGCGCGTGGAGGCGGGCGAGGACGAGGGGACGAGGGTCGATGGGGGGCGAGGTCGATGGGCACCAGAACTGTTGAAAAACACCACATGGAACCAATTTATATATATAATATAATATAATATACAATAATACAATATTGATAATACTGGTGCAGTTCTATAGTATCGATTTCTTCCGCATGGGCATGGGTGTGATGCTATCTTTATGTGTCCCACATTTTCCCGCTGAACGGACTCAAAAATGTCAGTCAACTACTTCCGGCAAACCCGCAATTACAGCCAAGGGCGCAAGAGTACTCAAGCAGGATATTAGAGTGGATGGGCGATTATCAAGCAATGCAAGGGACTATCAGATCTATCAGGGTCTTTGGTTGCCTGTGAAGCAATAAAAACGTACTACACCACCTCAGGGTAGGCTCAGGCCCTGGCCATTTTGGCCTCCACTTGGACATTCGACCTGTGGGGGCCGTCGCCCAGGTGAGGAGATGCAGCTGGGTGGGATGTAAGTCCAGGGAGAAGACAGACCGAAGGTTGGATGAAATGAGGAAAAGTATGGAACAGTTTTTCTGTATGTTAACTTACAACATTCCATGGAATGCCAACATCCATTGAACCCTCAAAAATCCATTGTAGGTAGATGGGTAGATTCAGAAGATACTTTGCGGTGCGAAGTGGTTGATTCGAATGGAATGGGACTTTTGGTGGTGGGACTTGGAATGGGAATTGACAAGAGGGCCCGGGCATTTGACACTTCATGCCATTTCACGGATCTCGGCAGCGGCCAAAAGTGGGTCGTTGTGCTCCCAAGAACCAGATGGCTCATCAGATTCTGTGGGAAGCTCATGGAAGCTCAAAGGATTGAAGATCATCCCCCCAACTGGTAGGAACAACTCCTACTTCCGGAGATGTTGGCATTTGATTCACGATCAAATCCATGGCCGAAGTGTCTACAGTTCTACACGTCAACAACATCTAGAGGAACTTCGATCCCAACTTCAGCTGATGGAAGAAAGGCATCACAAAGGTGATTGATCTTTGGAAGATCCGATGCATCTTGGGAACATGGACAGAAAGCTGAAAAGTCCATGTCCTCCAAGTCGATTTGCAGCACCACCAAGGCCGCCAAATCGTGTCCTCCAAGTGTTCTTAGATGCCACCGTGTCGCCGCCGCTCCAGCCACTGCCTCACCCGCAGCTGGCACAGACGCTCGTGCAGCCGGCGCAGACGCTGGCACAGCCAGCGCAGCTACTGGCCCAGCCTCTCACATATCGAGAGCCTTTAGCCACCTGGCGGCAATGTCGACACTGGTGTTCAGCAGGGTTTTCAGAAGCCCAGCTTGTGTCTCTCGATCATGGTGTTATAATTGATTCCATGGCACTTTATTTTGCATGATGGATATTCAGGGGATACCCGCCACCCGTTGGAGCGAGTCTGACCCTGCGAGCGACGACGTCAGAAGGTGGTTGGACGACGTAAGAAGGGGTTTGCGAAAGAACAGCAGCGACTGAGAGATCAAGAGACCCGGATCTCAGATTCCTTTGTGTTTATGTGCCTTCCTTCATTTGTGCATTTTGTGATCATCAGTACCGTACCATTCAAATTCCGCATGTAACTGTTTGTAGTTGATCATGTTGATCTTGAGCTGTGTGAGAGACGCTATTTCACTATACATATATACATATATATTATATACACAAGCAATTGTTGCCATGTGTTTTCACAGTGTGAAGCCCAGTCCGGGCAGTCCAGATTGGAGACCTGAATGGTCCTGGTACCTGACAGTCTTTACAGGTTATACAATTCTTTCAATCCCATTCAGCCCAGCAGTCAACAAAACTTATTTGTTTTTCCTTTGCAACGTGAGCAGATCATGAGCAGATTTTTTGGGGATTGGCCGAGGCATGATGAGGCACAGCACAACCGGTTGTCAACAAACCGGTCCGATTTAAGGGCTCGAACCCCCCCGTGTGACCGATGGTCAACGTTCGTCTCCAGCCACTCAGGTTCGATCGACCGCCTTCACACAAGGGTGCTGAAGCAGAAGCTTCGGTTTGCCTCACCTCCTGGGGTGGTGAACATGGTTTTATCAAAAGGATCAAATTCAATCTATATAACTCTATCTCATTGAGATCCGATCATTGAGCTAGACAGGACAATACATGCACAAAGATCGTGTGGCAAGCTGCTGTTCATGTTGGATCGGTTATCGCTAATGGCGAGATCCGTAGTCTGACCTTTGATCAAGCCTGAAGACGCCCAGGCAAGACGATGGTTTCGTTCATCTCTTGTTGCTTTCCACATTTCTAGTCACTAGTCCAATGGCATGTATCTCGTGCAATACCGTCAGCTTGAGCAGAGGAATCATTGAGGCCCTGCCTTTGCATGAAAGTTTGGCACCGGGGATAGTTTGGGAGCGCAAAAAGAATGAAGCCACTGCTGTTGAACATTTGTCGAACTCTGGATGCCGGACCATGAAGAGGCAGACAGTGGCCTAAATGATCTAAATGATGTGTTCACTGTCTTGAAGACCATTACTTCATGTCATGTGCTTCATTTCTACAAGCTTACAGCTCGATGTGCTTTATGTTCTTTGCAGGAGCTTTTCGTTGCGCAGCCATATTGGCAGAGGTAGCAAGCGGCAAGTGCAAACCAGCGATGGCCCCTCAAATGTCGAAGACTGCAGCCGCTGCTGCTGTGGTGGCAGGAACTGCCTTCGTGTCCTTGCCAAGCCAGCGTGTGGCAACACCCACGGCCCGACCTGCGCTCCGCGGAAATGCCTCGGGCTCCATCAGTGCCACTGGCATGAGCACTGTAGGCAGGGCCGACGGAATGACACCTCACGGAATGACGAACAGATGCCGGACCTTGGCGGGTTTCGATGATCATGTCTTTCTGGGAAGATAAATGTTTAAACTATATGAATGACAATAAACGTATATTTATATGACTATATATTGACTTCGGAGGATGAATTGTTCCTCCCCAAAGTCCGACGGCGCAGTATTTTCTCGCACCACGCCAAAAAGAAGTGCAAGAATTCCAAAGACGACCGCACAACAATTCTTTTCAACAGCCAATCAACTTCATGATCCAGTCTGTAAGTGCTAACCTCCACCCCCGGGGCCAATCCGGTGTGGGGACGCCAGTGGACTGAGTCGCAGGGGAATTCGTTGTCGACTGGGGTCGGCGGATGAAGGAACTGGCCAAAGGTTCAAGCACCAAAGCCGGTTGCCACACTTTGCTGCGCTAGCGCAGCCCAATATGAGTAGTGGCATTGCAGCGACCACATGTCTGATATTGTTGCCTGATCTTGTGCTTTGCTCGCGCACGAAAAAGCACCGGCCAAACGCTGCACCTGATTCACGCTTTTGCAATCCTATGTCAACTATTGTGCTCCACAATGAGGCACCAGCATGCATTCGCATCTCACATCCACAAAAAAACACCCTGCATCTGCCACAAAAAACTTCATCTCTGGCACACTCTTTCATCGCGACCATGTTTTTCATGCTTACATATCTCATGTCTAGAAGACACTCCAATGCTCACAAAACCCAGCAAGAAAGGTTAACTTTTCGGGGTGTAGCATATGTTTGTTTGGAAAAAAAGTTAATAAACATGTGTATATATATAATATTCACAATATGTGGGTGTGCATCAAAACATATCAAAACCAAATAGAAATTGGTTTGGTATTTTTTCAGGCTGTGCCAGGTTGCCACCCAGTTCGTGGGTGTAGGTCTAAGCGTCAACACTTTGAGCTGACCGTGTTGTAATGGTTTAAGTGAAAACCCGGAAAACACTACAGGAAATTTATACTTTTTCATGGTTTCAACCTGTACTTTTGTTCCTTTAACTTATACATTGTGAGTCTCACCACTGCACTGGACCCAGCTGCCAGGCGCCGCAGCGCTGGGCGCGACGCTGGTCGCCGCGGTGAGGAAGAGCGGCCGTGTGGGTGGCTCGGGCGTTTTAGGGGTTTGTGGAACAAAGCCGTTGGTCAAGCAGACCCTGAAAACTTCATCAAAGCTCATCAAAGAAAGAAAACAACAACGAATGGCACAAATGGTTCGAATGGTTTTACCCTAAAAGGATTTGGGAGTTCCAGCTCATCCAGTCCCTTGACCGTTGGAAGCTGGGTTTCGCACGATGAAGAGGGGTGGGCACCGTCAACAGTTGCAGTATGTTGCAATCATTTCTCCTTGGAGGTTTCGGAGGTCCAACCTTGGTAATCTCCTTTTCATCGGCGAAACCGACACCGACTCCCTTGGCTGGATGAGTGCAGTATGTTCTAGTAAAAAATAACTAGCAGAATGATCATTCATGTCATGTGGTTATTCTTTGATTGTTCTTTTTTTTAAATCCTTTTCTGGGAAAGCCAGAAGCGTTTCCGACCATGTCCCTGTTTTCACCGTCCAATGACTCCCAACTGCACTTCCACAAGGCCGGTTGTTGTTTATCCTTTGGATGCTTCCGTGCCGGTTTTGAGCTTCACCCACATTTTGGCCTTGGCGTGTTCACATGGATCCAATGAACCTCCAACCATCTTGTACCCACCAACTTGCTGCACGGACCTGCTCGAAAGTTCTGGGCATCTGGCTCCTGTTTCAGCAAGGCCAGACCAGCCGGGGCGCCTTCGAGAATGAACTCGGCGTCCAGCCACCCCTGGGCTTCTGGGACCCTGCCGGCTTGTCCAGCGATGCTTGGCGCGTCGGGACGCGTCGGTCGTGGCACGTCAGGCCGCGCAGCGTCGCAGCGTCCGTTGCAGCGTAGCTCGGACCTGTGGATGTTTGTGGTCGAAAAAGCTTATCCGATTTGCAGCAGCATAACTCAATCGGGATTGGTGAAACAGAACTTTTGAGTGTATCTAACAATATTCATTCTATATATTATATACTCAATTTGCGTGGTTCTCAACATCACTTTACTGGTGTTATGATTTATTTTATCATGTTATCGTGCGATTCTTGAAAAATTCGAACTAGCGCAAGCACTTGGTCAAATCCAAACATGTTTGGCTGCGGAATGGGACTCACGGGATGAAGGTGGGGCATTTCACAACCCTGCTCTTTGCATTTGCGACTGAACAAGGAAACAGGCCAAAGCAGATTGAAGAGCATTCTTTGCCAAACAAGGGTGGTAGAGAATGCTACAAGCCAGATGTATCAAGGATGCAACATGATGCAACTACCCTGGATTTGGTGGCATGGGCATACGTGGGGCGTACGAAGGGCAAATCATGCGGAACATTGGGCAAAGGAAAGCTGATGTTTGTGACGTTGCGCAAGGAATTGTTCTTCAACTAAAGGATATATATAGTAATATAATGTCCTCGTTGGCAAGCTTTTGCCTTTCCCACCCAACAACCTCCGTCAAGCTGCAACCAGCTCAGGACGGTGATGCAAGGGAATTCTACCGACGACGCGTTGTCGAGATCAAGCACGGCCGGGTTTCTATGTTGGCCTGCACCGGAACCCAAGCTGCAGATCATCAGCGTGACATGATGACATGATTACGTAATGACGTTAACAATTCTTTAATACAGTGTGGCTATACTAAGGATACATTGTGCAGGAGTTCTTCAGATTTCCGGGATATATTTCTCCTTCTAGCGAGCTCAAGTTCACTGACATCCCCAACGGACTTGCAGCAGCCACCAAAGTTCCAGCCGTTGG